GGGGGGGGGTGGATGAAGATACTTGAATGTTAGTGTGAATGATATAATACAGGATTACACAGCAGATTTTAGATTTAAGAACCGTGCGATGTAGGGTGCAACAAACTCTTCATTTAACAAGTAGGGTGCAACAAACTCTTCATTTAACAAGTAGGGTGCAACAAACTCTTCATTTAACAAGTAGGGTACAACGAACTCTTCATTTTACAAGTAGGGTACACCAAACTCTACTTTCATTTAACAAGTAGGGTACAACAAACTCTACTTTCATTTAACAAGTAGGGTACAACAAACTCTACTTTCATTTAACAAGTAGGGTACACCAAACTCTTCATTTAACAAATAGGGTACACCAAACTCTACTTTCATTTAACAAGTAGGGTACAACAAACTCTACTTTCATTTAACAAGTAGGGTGCAACAAACTCTTCATTTAACAAGTAGGGTGCAACAAACTCTACTTTTATTTAACAAGTAGGGTGCAACAAACTACTTTCATTTGACAAGTAGTGTGCAACAAACTCTACTTTCATTTAACAAGTCGGGTGCAACAAACTCTACTTCCATTTAACAAGTAGGGTGCAACAAACTCTACTTTAACATTTAACAAGTAGGGTGCAACAAACTCATCTTTAATTTAACAAGTAGGGTGCAACAAACTCTACTTTTATTTAACAAGTAGGGTGCAAGAAACTCTACTTTAACATTTAACAAGTAGGGTGCAACAAACTCTACTTTAATTTAACAAGTAGGGTGCAACAAACTCTACTTTAACATTTAACAAGTAGGGTACACCAAACTCTACTTTCATTTAACGGGTGCAACAAACTCTACTTTAACATTTAACAAGTAGGGTGCAACAAACTCTACTTTCATTTAACAAGTAGGGTGCAACAAACTCTACTTTCATTTAACGGGTGCAACAAACTCTACTTTAACATTTAACAAGTAGGGTGCAACAAACTCTACTTTTATTTAACAAGTAGGGTGTAACTAACTCTACTTTCATTTAACAAGTAGGGTGCACAAAGAGTATTCAACAAATCCATGTTGTTTAGGCTGCAACAGTACGTAGTTTATTCATTAAATCAATGTTATTTTGGGTGCAACATTTTATAGTTTATTCGACCAATTATAAGGTTTATGGTTGCAACAAACTTTTTTAGTTGAAATAACTCCAAACAATATTTATATTGCTATGGGAGATGTTCTTTTCTAGAATTGAAACCGACCCCTCCCCCCATACTATTCTCTGGATGATAATTGTTACGTTGAGGGGAATAATTCTAGTTTAGTTAAATATTGGGATAATTATATGTGGGAACTGTACCAGCATACAGTACACACACCTGCTGAACGGGTTCAGGGGGGTGGAGGATGAATCTCAGGTTCCGTGTCAGAAAAGAGAACAACTAGTGAAATAATATCTAATTAACGATCTGGTTTTATTAAAGAATAACTTGACAAGGTTTGAATTCAGATTAAAGTAAAGGTTCAAAATTGATCAATACACACAATCGCAATAATCAACAATTAAAATGAGGATACGACGTAATTTTAAAGACTTAAAGAGACTGTAGCGTAATTTCAAATAACTCTCTATGGATAGAGTGACGGATCCGATTGACACGGTACTCATAAAGCTTTGTCTGATCAATTATGAATTAGATGTCCATGTTTTCGTTTCATTAAACTAACTTTTTGCACTTATCAAATTAAAAACGACATTTTCTTTAACGCAGTTAATCCGACATGTAACTTTATAAATGGAAGGTCACCTAAAATTACAACGAAAGTCCTTTCATCATCTAAAAAGTTTTAAACGCTTCACACCGTTAATCTTTAATCTTTTTTAATATACAAAATTCGGTTAACTATGCTTATACTGTAAACTGTATCTATCAAGATGAGTGAGTAAACTGTATATATCAAGATGAGTATTGAGTAAACTGTGTATATCATGAGGAGTATTGAGTAACCTGTTTATATCAAGAGAGTATTGAGTAAACTGTATATATCAATATGAGTACTGAGTAAACTGTATGTATCAGGATGAGTATTGAGTAAACTGTATATATCAAGATGAGTATTGAATAAACTGTATATATCAGGATGAGTATTAAGTAAACTGTATATATCAGGATGAGTATTGAGTAAACTGTATATATCAAGATGAGTACTGAGTAAACTGTATATATCAATATGAGTACTGAGTAAACTGTATGTATCAGGATGAGTATTGAGTAAACTGTAAATATCAAGATGAGTATTGAGTAAACTGTATATACCGAGATGAGTATTGAGTAAACTGTATATATCAAGATGAGCACTGAGTAAACTGTATGTATCAAGATATGTATTAAGTAAACTGTATATCAAAATGAGTATTGAGTAAACTGTATATATCAAGATGAGTATTGAGTAAACTGTATATATCAAGATGTGTATTGTGTAAACTGTATATATCAAGATGAGCATTGAGTAAACTGTATATATCAAGATGTGTATTGAGTAAACTGTATGTATCAATATGAGTATTGAGTAAACTGTATAGTGTATATATCAAGATGAGTATTGAGTAAACTGTATATATCAAGATGTGTATTGAGTAAACTGTATGTATCAAGATGTGTATTGAGTAAACTGTATATATCAAGATGTGTATTGAGTAAACTGTAAATATCAAGAGGAGTATTGAGTAAACTATGTATCAAGATTAGTATATTATATATAGATTAAGATAAGTATCATGCAAACAATTTTTATCAAGATAAGATGAAATGGACTAAAAAATAGGGTAATTTAAAAAGATTAGCTGTTATAAAGGAATATTAGATTTGAAATATATTAACATGTTTGAAATACATGACTAGTACATTTACCGATTTTTGGTCATCATTTCAAATATTGAGTAAATGTATAAAAGTATTTGTGCAAGAGTATGTTCAAGCTCCCACCCGTGCATATCATTAGTAAATTAATCCTGCCTGATGATGTGAATACTCTTCTATACTCTACAGGATCATCTGGTAGTTGGAGAACCTCTTTAGCTGTCTGCAGCAGAATAGCAGTACTTGGAGGTTTAGAATAGTTCCCAAGTCCTTGCTCTATCTTGGTAGAAGATCTGGAGGTTGTGGTAGAGGAATACCTCATTTCATGGTTTCCGGAACTTGTTATGATGTCGCCGGTGATGTTACCCGCCATAGCCGCGGCAAGGATGTTGTTCTGGTTGATGACAATAGTATTACCGTTGGACAGCGTGATATGAGAAGGTAGATTGAGCTGCGAGTATCCTTGGGAGACTTGAATCCGTCCTCCATTCTCCAGCTTCAAGGTTCCAAGATTACTCACTGTGATGGATCCATCAGTGCACAGACTAGCCGCAGTGTCCGAATATTCAGGAATAGAAATAACATTGTTATCACTCACGTTCTCTGTAATGTACTCTTCCTCAATAGGGGTTAGAAGAACTGTTGGCTGAGGCGGATTAGATTCAGTTTTTATGGGCTGAGACTTTTGAGTTAAATTATCGGAGACAGGTTCTGAAATTAAACCCATTTTTTCTGTTGATTGTTCTAGCGATGAGGAGTCGGGCTGGGATTGTGTTTGGTGAACTTCCGCAAGGTTTGTTACAGCTGACGTCAAGTTTCCGGCATTTTTTACTTCTGATCCAGCAGGAGCATCAAACATGTCACATGCTTCGGGGTCAATAGAAGTTTCATTGGTTTCCATAGCTTCACAGGGTTCAGATTCACTAGTTAACTCCTCAGATTCAGTAGTCCTCGTAGATATAGAGCTAATTATATCAGATGAATTAGAGACCTTAGGGCTTAACCCAGAGTTAAGGAAGGCAGAATCTACTTCGGGTTCAATGTCAGTTGTTATCCCTTCAGGGCAAGTAGATTGCGTTGATAGGATTTGAGATTCACTTGTAGACATCATAACTTCTGTATGCACTGTAGTTGTTTCAACAGTAGACTCCAAATACATAGATTCTACTATTTCAGAACTTGCTGAAGAAATTTGTTTCGTAGAATTGGAGGGAAGTTGGTTATTTGTATCAGTAGAATTGGACGGAGTAGTTGCAGTAACTTCTGTAGAGTTGGACGTAACTGTATCTGTTACATATGTAGAATTGGACGGAATAGTTACGTTTACTTCTGTAGAATTAGACGAAGAAGTTGCAGTTACATGTGTAGAATTGGACGGAATGTTATCTGGTATTTCAGTAGAATTAGACGGAATAGCTGCTGCAGATCTGGACGGAATAGCTGATGTTACTTCTATTGAAGTGGACGGATTAACTGAAGTTACTTCTGCAGATATGGACGGAATAGCTGATACTACTTCTGTAGAATTGGACGGAATAACTGCTGTTACTTCTGTAGAATTGGACGGAATAACTGCTTTTACTTCTGTAGAATTGGACGGAATAACTGCTGTTACTTCTGTAGCTTTCGACGGAATAACTGCTGTTACGTCGGTAGAATTGGATGGAATGGTAGCTGTTACTTCTGTAGAATTGGACGTAATGGTTGCTGTTTCTTCAATAGAATTGGACGGAATAGCTGCTGTGTCTTCTGTAGAAATTGACGAAATATTTACACTTTGATTCAAAGAATTTTCTCTCACTTCCATATCTTTGGGTGGAATGATATTATTTGTAGAAGTGCAATTGTCATTTACAGATTTCATTCCTTTGGTAGATTCGGACGGAACAGTTACTTCCCCTTTGGACGGAATGTTTCCAGTTTCATTATTCGAATGTATAGATTGAGATGGAATGATTGAAGTTTCATGAATATCTGAGATTTCTGTATCTTGAGATTGATTGGATGAATTATCACAAGGTGTTGAGCCCAAATCCAATGATTTGTATGACGAGAAGGTGTCTACCGTAGCGGTTACTAGTCCTGTTATCCTTGGTTTAAGACTGGACGACTGGACGATTTGTTGAGTGTCCGTCATCCTACAGTCCGGACTTGAATACGATAATAATACCAGAATGGAATGCTGAGAGAGAGCGGTGCACTGCACCGGGATTATTGATTTATTTCACATTCCGCAAAATCGTCACAAATTTGCTAAGATTTTGATCCTTCGTCTTGTTGATTGTTTACTTGTCTGCTGAGTGATGTTGAGGTCTATATATTTCACCGCTACCTGTGTTATTTCTTCATATACCTGGGTCTAGATATTGGGCAGAACTGCCTCAATCCTACCTACTTACCTGGCCAAAGGTAGGTTTTCCAGTTAACTACCTCCCATTATTAAACCAGGGATCATTTCTACACATTTAACACTTGGATTAGATCCTTATTTAAAAAATTACCTTTTTCCTCAGGATTGTTGTCAGCAAAGGACATTTTAATTCAAAATCATTGATCTGAAAAATTTTATTATTTATAATTTACAGCAACTTGTTGAATATATTTGCAGAAAGTCAGGTAGGTATTCTGCCCTGTTTATATCTACCTGGGTATTAGACGATCACCCGCTACCTTCACTCACAAAGAATTATGCCGTAGCACGGACAACAGCTGGCCTGCACAAATTCGTAGTTCTGATTGGTTCGATTTATCCAGAACCTCTTCTCATTGGTCCAATTCTTGGAATTGAATTTTTCAGATTGGAATGTGGTAGTACAGATCATTGACGTTAGTGCCGCTAGTTGTATCTTAACTACTGCAAAATAACGACATCTATATTATTTGTTTAGCAATAACTCATTGTAAATATTTATTTATTATTTTGAAATGTGATGTAAAATTATCATGTTAAACTTAAAACAAAATAAATACAAAAAAATTGAATTCTCCAAATGATATTATTTATATCAGTGGTAAAATCAGGTCGTCACTCGTCCTTTATAGTTTCTTAGAGCAATTAGTTTGAGATTTCTCTCTTATTCTCGAATGCCGCAATCATTCGTAATATCAAACCGTAAAAAATTTAGTAAAAAACAACAAAATGGTATCAATTCATTCAAGAATTCTTATTTCACATCCTGCATTATAGTCGATTACTAATCCCATTAATTACATTTATGTGATCTGTAAAAAAATTGAATTTAATCAAATCATTTTATAGAAAATGATAATTAAACTCGAGGAGGAAATAAATTTCGCTTTTTCAATTCTCCATTGAAATGGAAAAATTTTTGTTGGTGGGAACTACACGTCCATGTAGATATGCGTGTGAAATATTTATTACATGAGAAGTTAAAATATTTTACTACTGAATCCGAGATTGCAGCAAAGATGAACTCCTTCTGGCTAGTTAGCGTGTGGAGTATATTAATATATTATCTTGAAAATCCCCCCCCCCCTAATTTAAAAACATTTTTTACCCGCTTTGCTTCATGTACAGCTCTCTTTCTTTTTTCTATTACTATAATTGTTATGTGCGAATAAAACTTCAAGGTCGTAAATCTAATTACAAACCCTTCATGCGAAGATGACAATGCCCGACATTTAACGGTTCCGTTAGATCTGATCAAAAATGTGGAAGATACCGTCGTTTTCTATCTCGTAACGTGTTTACCTTTTGTGAGTTTTTCCGTTGCTAGTCTTTTAAAGAATAAAATGCGTTGTCACTTTTGCATTTGCAGAGAAACCGCAGAAGCAAATAAACAGCTTAAAGAAGCAAAAACTTTGATGTCTAATTCATACTTGATCAGACAAAGCTTTTAAATCTGTGCAGGTAGGGTCACTTGAAATTACGCTAACGTAATGTAAGAGTTATTTTCCAACTAAAAGTCTTTGGGTCCGTCCTAGTATAAGATTTTTGGACCCGGCCCCCCTCCCGCCCCCCCCCTCCTATAAATTTTGTACGTGTACTTATTTTTCAGCAAATTTATTATTTTTTTTATTATTATTTAGGGTTAGGTTAGGTTAAGACACTTTCTAGGCCGAGCGCTGCAGCTAGGACAGGCTCGGGGCCGAGCGCTGCGGCCACGGGTTAGGTTAAGTTAAGACACTTTCTGGGCCGAGCGCTGCGGCCACATGTCTTGCATTTAGGATCCTGTTACATTTAATATCCATGTACAAAATTAATTGGAGGGGGGGGGGGTCCTAAAATCGTATACTAGGAAATTACCAAGTCTTTTTGCTTAATTTCTTTATTTGTTTCAGATGTAAACGGAGACTTTAGAGGCTTAAATTACATTGTAAAGCAACTACATCAAAACAGAAATTGGTTTTTAAACATATGAAGACCCGGATATATTTAAAGCTGTTCTTGATCGGTGCTGAAACAAAAATACATATTTAATATACACTTATTCATTTAATATAACAATGAAGCGCACTGAGTCAGGGCAAAAAGAAATGGTAAGTATTAGGCAGCTCTGCCTTTTAAACTTGAAATTACGTTGTGATGACTTAGTTTGACCCCCACATTGATCCATCAAAGCCAAATTTTTTGTTGTAAAAAAACTATGAATAATTTTGAAGCTGTTACATAGTATTTGTTAAGTTAAGGAATCAAACTACTGATGACATAACAAGTTCGATCATATTTGAAAGGTTTAAGGTTTCAGACAGGAAACTTGTCAATAATACTATAGAAATATATGATCCTAATTCCTAAGTACTAAAATAAACCATAAAAAATCAAAATGGTATTTAGTAAATTAATCTCTAGGCAGGTTCTTAGTGAGAATATCTTTTAATTATTATTAACTATTTTATCAATATTTTACTCTAGCAATGTCTAAATAAATATTTTGTTATGCATTAATTAGCAGTTGCATATGCACTTGATGTGAAGCTTTTATTAAAAGCAATTACATGAGAATGAAAAGATTGTTTTCAGTGAGGGTAAAATCCATAGAGAATAGAATATATAGAGAGGAATTTACTAGAAAAAAGTGTAAAACGGCCATTTTGTTGTACTGTTTCCATACTGCAGGTGTACTTCACATATTTATGCTATATAACCTGTTGCACCCTGGAATATCATTTTATAGAAAATCGAAAATTATTGTTAAAAGAAAACCAAATTATGAAATAGGCTGGTTTCATAATTGACCAATGATCATTTCACATAGACTCTATGCCTTTCACTTTACAAACGATGATTTTCCGTTATAACTATAAATCAAATTATGTTTTTATTCACCTAATTCATTATAAAGTTTATTTAACAGTTTAAAAGATTCGAAATTGAAATGGATAGTCTAGGGAACATACTGTATTAATGTACTCAACTGCATATAATTTGTGAACATTTACTATGATTTCTACACTTTGAACTCCCTTTCAGGCTGAAAGGGACTGAAAAAATTCATACCGAGAGATTCTTTTAATTCCTCTATGGTAAAATCCGATTCCCAGATTATTCTATGCATCAACTTAGGTTCCGGTAGTTCCTGAGAAGAGGGCAAGGTTTGAGCGGACCCAGGATATTTTAGAAAAAAGTGGACTACTAGAGATTACTAAAAATACTGCACTTCTCATCAAGTAAGTGCAATTTAAAGTAAAATATTGAACGCAAAATATGATAGTTAGTGTTTAATAGATCCTACAAGATTGGTTTAAATCATTCTTTTTAATTGTAAATAAAGATTTTGGAATTTATTGAAGCTTTAGTTAAGTTAAGAAATGTTTCAATTACAGATTCCAGTCCTCATATAAATTGGTATAAATTAGTTCATCGAGAGAAAAAAATGCGCCGAAAAATATATTTCAATGTTTTTCTTGACACAGGAGTAATCAGCAGGCTCATATTGAGTTGCAGCAGCTCAATCAGGAGGTTCAGGAGTTCGTTAGATCAGTCTTATCCAACCCAGAGAACAACGGGTCAACCAACCAGGCCAGGTCAGTAGGATAACAAACCTGGCCAGGTCTGTGGTACAACCAACCAATGCCAGGTCAGTGGTATAGCCAACCAGGCCAGGTCAGTGGTATAACGAACCAAACCTGGTCAGTGTTTTAACCAACCAGGCCAGGTCAGTGGTATAACGTTTACCAAACCTGGTCAGTGGTATAAACAAACCAGCAATATTTTTTGCATCGATAAAATTTATTGTCATTGGTTTATTTTTGGGAGAAAGAAAGTTTCAATGTTATCAGAAATGTCAGAAATATCGGAAATTTTCAATTTTACAATTACGAAGAAAAAAATGGCCGCTTGAAAAGCAATTTTTAACACTAAAGTTGTTGCTAGAAGAGGACTGCAGACTGAAAGTCTAGTATCTTATGAATAAATATTTAGAAATTCCTTCTTGTTGAACCCTCTTGATCAGCCAGGAACATCTCCATCTCCGCAGGTTACATATATAATATAATAAAATAAAATTATATATACTTTTAAACATTACACTTCCTTCCTACGTAATGTTATATTACTTATACCACAATCTTAAAAGATTTGAACAAATTCACAGAGGTTTACGTTTAATTCTAAAATTGTCAGGGAACGGGCAATTCGCATACGAACACTGAACTTTGATCAGGCTAAGATCCCCTTAAAGTCTCATCGTTTGTGGGTAACCCTAAATAATACCGTGGTCAGCATATATCGTTTATTGACATGGGGATACAATACAGAGGCTGATATAAATTTTAAAACAGTATCCAATAGTAAATTTTTATATAAATGAAAAGTGGTTTGTGTACTCACCACTGAATTATTAGGTATTGAAATTGTATAATATCACTGTTACGGTAACAGACACTGATGATATTTATGTTGACCATCGTATCTAAAATAGAATCCACCAAACAAACCCTTTTCCAGAATTTTCGAGTCGTAGTTTTCCAATGAAATCTGATACAATTCTGAATTGGTTTTAACGGGACGAGCTTTTTAGATCTTTTTTCTTTAAAATTTGAGTTCGAAACCTCCACTTGGTTAAAAAAAAAATACGCTTGAAAAATTAATAAATTCTACATTTTTAGATATCTGTGATAAAACAACACCAGTCCAGTACTTTTCTTGAATGTACTTCTAGCCAAGGAGGAAATTAAAGTAATTGTAAACGTGTTTTTAAGTGTCCCAAAGATACTACAAAAATATATGGCAGAAACCTTAATTATTTCTTAATCTGTAATGCAAGTCCATATGTGAAACTGTTTTATCTTAATTTGATGGTCACTTGTAGTTTCGTATACATTCCTTTCAACTTACATTTTGTTTAATATGATTTTGTCAATTTAAATGTAAAATATTTTTAGATAAAGAAAAATGCTGATAAAAATTTAATAAATTCAGAGGTTTATGCCTGAGTCTAATGTTAGATATAAATTGTTATTATGTGATTAATTTAATTGTTTTTGTTTGTTATAAATCATGCTAGATATATGTGAAATCGATGTAAATAAAGATATTTATTTTCAGGGGAAAAATGGCCGATGATCGAAATTCTGTGTCTATGAAGCTGAAAATAGCGTTTTCAGGTACAAAATATTTTAATGCTTTTTTATGCTGGGTTAGTATTTACGACTTTAAGTACATGAATTTAAAAATATTAGAATTTAAAGTTATTTTTTGTTTATTTTCAGTGTTTGGTGTTCTGGCTGGTTGTTGTGTGTTCTTTGTATTTACTTTCTTGTATCAAAATTACCATGCAGGTCATAACAATAGTTAAGAAATAAATCAGATAAGATAACGAAAGTAAAAACAATTAAAATTACATTTTGCAATCAAAATGACAATTTTTCAGAAAAACTCGGATTTTAAATATTCAAATAATATTCAAATTCGGAACAGATAAACTAAGTTTTTCATACAATTCCCCTCAAACTGCAGTACACTGTTTTGTACATAAATATTCCCCTCAAACTGCAGTACACTGTTTTGTACACAAATATTTCTAGAGGAATACTTATAAGAATTCTTTGCAGAATATAGTTTCCCACCTTTAAAGTGTAGTTCATTCTTGGCAAAATTAATAAACAAGTACAAAAAATATATATATACTTTTGAAAGAAAATTTTTATCTATTACTTTTGATAAGATAATAGGTTGCAGATGTATACACGGGGGGCTATTGGGCTCAGCAGAAAGCAACCCCCCCCCCCTTCCCCGACAAATTCATGTATGCATTGTAATAAAATTATTTCAACAATCCCTCTTTAAATGATAAAACATATTGTAGGTTTATGGGCTCTTCTCTCTTGTGCTCTATCTTCAATAGTTCTACACCAGCATCTATTGTTTAGGTAGGAATATTTTATATCTATTGTGAACCAACTGCATTATTTATATTTCATTGTAAAAAAAAATACAAAAATAGAATGATAATTCTCCATGGGTCGAGAAGCAAAATACTCTGCAAATTTTTTTTAAATTTTCTTTTTTTTGGGGGGGGGGGGGGTTACTTTTGAATTAACTATGCAAAGTACCAATTTTTGTGCCACCTTCTAATTATGATAAATACGTACAAGTTCTAAACACGGTACAAACTATTTTCATTCATTTTAATTTATTTCTAAATAAGCCCTGAATTGGTTTTATTTATAAAATGTTGAATTATTAATAAATTGAGTCCCAACTCTTCAGCTGGTTATTCAAATATCTCTCGTTTTTTTCGAACTTAATTCCTTCAAAATATTATTCTTCTAACACTCGCAGGAATAATTCAAGAAATTTTTTTGAATGTACCTCTTTTTAATAAGTTTTCTTTTTGATAAAAAAAATTTAAGTTTTAACAAATTTAGATAAATTTTCTGAATATGTAATAACATTTTAAATTATTAATAATGAGGTATCTGGATCAATAAATAATAAAAACTAAAAACTTAAAACCTGAAATAGTCAAATTGGGGTCTGGATAAATAAAAAACTTTAGTCATGATAGAAATGGGATTTTTAGGTAAATGAGAAAAACTTTAGATATCTCGAAAATGAGGATTCTGGATAAATAATTGAAACTTTGAAAAATGCAAAAATGGTTTTTCATAAATCATGAATTTTGTTTAGAAATAATCGGTTAGAGCACTGGCACACTATTCACTCGTTGACTGCACTCAGAAACTTGGGCATACTAACCTTACTCTGCAGTACAGGAGGTATTTGTTTTCATTTATATAATTAGTTACACTCAAGTACACTTCACTTATGTACAGGGTTACCCTGAGAAGATTGAGACTTCGTAGACGACTGTACGCAATTGTTTCTGTCTGTTCCCTTATATTCATGATTCCCTGTATCTGTAAACTTGTTTTTCTCTTCGCCAAATCGTTGAATAAGTCATTTAAAGGCAATATTTATTGATTCAAGGCAGAACATTTGAACCTTAACCTTTAAATCGTCATATATTAAGACCTTAAGTCGTCTTTGGTAACTCTGTACTAAATACAAAAATTGACTGTAGATGTAATTTAAAGTGATATTTAAAGAGGGGCATGATAGATTCACTGCGGTACCCTTCATACCTTCTTCTGACCTACAGCGCTGAAGATATCCCAGGGAATAGGATTAAAGGGAAGGGAAACGGCGCTGGTCTGGCATGAGAAAGGCAGTCCCACTGCTTTGCAGACGAGTTCTGTATTACACACGCACACTCTTTTGGTACCGACACACAACATGACTACAGTCAAGGAAATTTTAGAACAATGTCGTCAATGATAATTAAGCTTGAATAACGAGTAGTTTATTTTAAACATTAATTAAATTATATTCTTTGCATGAAAATTTGGCTTATAGTGTTGACTTAAACATGTAAATAATATATTACATGTATATTAAACTTATTTTTAAGTAAACAATTAACAATAAACAAATTTACTCTCCTAGATTGTACAAATACCGAGATTCTTATGTACTGTATTTACCTAAAGTACACGCCTTTGGTTCGGTATTCCTTACACACACTTTTTTTGGTTCAGACACACACACACACGACGTTTCCGCCCCCTGAGATATCTTTGTTTAAATGGAAAAATTATAATTTCTAATAGTGGTTTCCTGCTCAGATGAAGGTTTGACTGTTCCATTGTGAAAATATGTCCATAGTCTCTTTAAATGCTTTAGAAAATGCTTCAAAAAAACATTTAGTGGTTCGTTTTATCAAATCTATAGATTTAATCTGTTTCTCCATTTTTTAAATGCACTTTACCAAAACCCCGGTCCTTTAACTAGGATATGTTATAAAATTAGAAATTCAAAGACACAAACTTTCAAATTGAAAATATGAGCAGAATATCCGGCAACATGGAATTTTGCATATAATCAAACTTTAAATTAGTTGAAAAGTGCAAATCTAATTTTCAGTTCCTAATTTCCTAAACATTGAAATCATGATTAAAAAGTCGTAAACAGAATATTTTTAAACTTATTATTACAATTCCTTTATTGTGATCAGTTAGTAAATGACATTATTTTCAGCTTCTATTTACTATTTCTACATTGTGATCAGTGAGCATCAGAGTATTTATCCGATGAGCGAAAGGTATTTTTTTAAATTAAAATTGTTTTGGTAGCTTTTTACAATCATGCTTTTTTTAATTGCTCAGTTGTTGAGCAATTGGTTTTGGTTTACCATCATTTCAGAACTTTTTTTATGACATTAAAATTTTTTATATATAAATTGGTTTATATTTTCTAAAATTAAATCAAATTATTTTCTAAGATAATCACCTAAAATTTCTTACTTTTTTCAATTTCAAAACTATTTCCAGAAACTCTTTTTCTCTCAAATTCATTTTATTTGAAACGAAAATATTTATCTTTATTATTAATGACCATTTTTAATCTTAATTTTTCTAGTTATATGCTTGCTGGTGTTTGGAGCTTCATGTCCTTCAAATGGTCCGTTGCAACCATGATATTTAGTCAACAATACAAGAATATTCTGGATAGAGAATACTCATTGTTCTAATCCAACCCTGGATCTGGGTCTCATTCATCTCAACTTATGGGGTATACACTGTACAGACACTACTGTAGAATAAACCCTGGTTCTAATCAAACCCTTGATCTGGTTTTCATTTATCTCATAGATATTATCTAAACCAACTCATCGTGTATACAACCACAGCGTTGTAGTGTACGGTACTGGAGTGTACTGTACTGTACTGTACTGTACTGTACTGTACTGTACTGTACTGTACTGTACTGTACTGTACTGTACTGTACTGTACGGTACTGTAATGTACTGTAATGAGAATTTTTTAAAAAAAGGTTCTTGGTGGAAATAAAAGCCAAATATTTTTTTATTGGAGCCAAAATGCGGGGCGAGGAGACAGAATGGCGGGAGGCTTGGTGACGTCACTGAGGCTGGGAGACCAGTTTTGCGGGGCCGGGAGATAATTCTGCAAATCCTGAGGTTCGGAGATCATTTTTGCGGGGATCATGGCGCCTCTGCACCCCCTCCCTCGTTCTAGAATAACTAATAATTAAGACTTGTCAGACCAATGGACGATGGAAGGTTTGTTTGAATCTTTTAAATCAATTAAATATCAAATTAACATGCGTTCACAATTTTCAGAGATTATTTTAATCATTGATTTAGATAACTATATGTTTGTTAATACAAAGATTTTATTTTCTCCGATAATAAGGAAAAAGCTGTCATATTTTTAACAAAGCCAGGAATTAACACTAAATAAATTGATTTTTTCCACCACATTTTTTATGTTAATTATGGACATGCTGTAAACCAGTGAAAAAATATTTATTTTTGTATTTGTAAATTCTAAAACTCAATTTACATTGTGATATTATTGATGTATTAAACAAATGATTTTATTCCTGTAACGACTAATTAAATGTTCTGTAAAAAAATTTTAAGCATTCAGTTTTTTTTGCGTTTAAGATGCTCCTCACTCATAAAAAATCTGAGAAGCATAACAAATTAAAAAAAAATACGTACATTATGCAAAATGTTGATTGTGACAGAATATTTTGGTAAGAATGATATTTCAAATTTTAAATTAAGGAACTATTGAGTTTTTGTTCAGCACTACATCTTCTGACTAGGGCTGGGCAAAGTTTAAAATTCATTTTGCCGTTAACACCGTTAATACTTTAATAAACCGTTAACGTCTGTGCCGTTAACAATTTTTTTACCGTTAACGAATTTTTTTCGCAGTTAACGCCATTAATATTGTAATATACCGTTAACGATTTTTTTTAACCGTTAACGATTTTTTTTGCCTTTTACGCTGCCAATACTGCAATGTACCGTTGATGGCTGTGCCGTTAACGATTTTATAAGTTAACGAATTTTTTCAGCCCTTTGCGCTGTTAATAAAGATTTTTACGGTCCTTCGCGCCGTTAATTGTAATAACGGTACCATTAACGAATAGAGCCGTTACCGATTGTTGAAAAATTTCCGTTAACGCCGGTAAAAGAATTGAGATCGTTAATTAAAGGTAATTTTTAAAAAAATAGAAAATGCCGTTCACGGAATGAACGTTTCGTTCTTAGCTTTAAAATTAACGGCTAACTAAAATTTTTATTTCTTAATGGTTGTAACTAACCGCTAACGAAACGGCTAGAAACAGTTGGAACGTGCCCAGCCCTACTTCTGACCTCTTGGATTTTTGCGGAGACACTGGAAAGTCGAAATCCTGGATTATTAAAAACCGGGTTATAAAAAATATTTTACACCAAATTCATTGACTTTTTGATTGATTGATTGTTTGATTGATTGATAAATCGATTGATTGATCGATTTTTCGGTCCATCAATCAAATAACTCATTGATTTTATCCTTTTCATTTAGAACCAAATACTGAATCTTATATTATTAAATAATGTATAATTATTTTTAGATTGTAATTTCATTTGTTGTAATTTAAACCCAAAATTTTAATTGTGAAATGATAGCGGTCCCTGCAATTTCCATCCGTTTTAACAGGAAATTTTCCTGCTCTTGAATGAAATTTAACGTAATAATGATAAGAATCTTATTGAAAATTGTTCAAAATGATTCTGTTTTCTTTCCACTTAGATTTTTGATCTAAAAAAAAGGGAAAGAGTTTCTCCCTACTCAATTATTCCAGTACAATACTATTTATTGCGCTATTATAAAACTCAAATTGCCCTTGTTACCCCCCCCCCCTTGGAGAAATTTATAAGTTAACTTTGCAATGTAGAACAATCCAGTACACCTGTATAATTATTAGAATGTTGCTCCCCCCCTCTTCTCCTCCATCAGCAGATAGTTTTGATTATATTACTTGTAAAAAAGTCAATGTGAAGTTCTGGAAAAATCCATATTTTTGCGATTCTAAATTATTGAACCCGGGACTAGCATGGGTTTCAAAATAACAATCGTCTATTAAATGAAGATTGTTCAGGGGTGTATATTTTCTGAAAAAATCCCCCCCCCCCTGTATGAAAATAGGTTTTTCCCCCAGAAGTTAAATAGTATACTCGGGATACAATTATTCTTCACTAAGATTTTATAACCTGTATACCTGCCCGGTTTACTCATCACTAACTTGCTAGAATCCGAGATTGAAACTAATTTTGTTAAATAAATAAATTGCCAACGTCGTAGGATTGACCAGTGCTCAGGATCCGGACCCGCAACATTTTTGCTCCCTGGATTCGGATTCAAGTTGCCGTATAACATACAAATTATTTAAAAATCGGGCATCGCCATCTTTGCATAAAGGGTCACTTGCGCTTACAGTCCCTTTAAGTGTTAACTAATACTATGTTAACTAATGTAATGACTTTGAATATTAAATAAAGTTTCATGAAACAAATTGGCAAAAGATAAGATGATAAATTCAGAAATTATATAATAAAATCCTATTTTACAGGACGGATCCAGGATCCGGTTTCGCAAAAAAATTAAATGTTTCCTAAGCACTGTTTTGTATTCTATGTATTTTAGCATTGTTTTTAAACAACTTAGATATCGTTTAAAATATTTTCAAGAAGTAAAATCACGTTTGATAATCTGAATGATATTGGCTGTGCGTAGATAAAATGTCGAGCTCAGAGGATGAAATTCCAAGGAGGAAGAAAAGCGTAGACGGGGCTCAGTCAAGATCAAGGTATTCCACTCTTCCTCCACAAATAATTGTTACGGCTCTTTTTTCAACAATAAAAAATATGTTTAGTATAAGAGAGCTTAAAATACAACTCAATAAATATTTAAAATTGATAAATCACAAAAAGCACTTGTTTGATTTTGGTACAAAAATCTAAGGGAAATTCCTGTTGAAGGAAAAATTTGTTTCAGGTTATGCATCAAAGAAAACAGTAAAAAAAAACATAAAATAATAGGGTGTAATGCAAAATATCAAATTTTTCTCTGCAAGGATTGTTTATTCTATCTAAATGATTCAACCCTTTAAGTTTTTAAATTTTAAATGGGCTCCCTGTCTCAAAAAAATGTTTTTATTTTTATTTTGTAAAAATATTGCATTCTTATGTTATTGTTGGATCTCAGAAAATAAAATTGCATTCTTATTTTGTTGCATCTTGGGAAATAAAGGTGAAATTCTTTTAATATTTTCCATCAGTTGTTGCTGAGAATAAACCAAGTTCTAACTGTTTACTTAAATTAGTATTCTGTTTACTTTCCTGTTAAACATACTTGACATAATTTCAGTACTGTATATTGTTGCATCCCCCCTCACCTGGCGGACCATCTAAAATGTTTCCACTTACATAATTAAATTTGATAGTAAGATAAGGCTTTGAAGAGGATCTTTATTCTGTAACTAAAATTGTATTTTTGAAAAATACTTCGGAATATTTTTACTACATAGTCTTGGCTTCAGTGTAAGGATGCAAACTATTATATCTTGGATCCAGAGAAAGGATAAATACTCTTTAGATTTCGTAACAAGAAAGAACACTACTTTATCTAGGTTCCTGGAGTAAGGATGAATACTACATACATCTAGGTTCCTGGAGTAAGGATGAATACTACTATATCTAGGTTCCTGGAGTAAGGATGAATACCACTATATCTAGGTTCCTGGAGCAAGGATGAATACTACTATAGCTAGGTTCCTGGAGTAAGGATGAATACTACTATAGCTAGGTTCCTGGAGTAAGGAAGAATTCTACTATAGCTAGGTTCCTGGAGTAAGGATGAATACTACTATAGCTAGGTTCCTGGAGTAAGGATGAATACTACTACATCTAGGTTCCTGGAGTAAGGATGAATACTACTACATCTAGGTTCCTGGAGTAAGGATGAATACTACTATATCTAGGCTCAGGAGCAAGAATAAAAACAACAATTTCTAGGTTCTGGAGTTAGGATGAGTTCTACTAGGATGAGTTCTACTTTATCTAGGTTCCCGAAGCAAGGCTGAATTCTACTATATATAGGTTCCTGGAGTAAGGATGAATAGTATTATATCTAGGTTCTGGAGTAAGGATGAATAATATTTTATCTAGGTTCCTGGAGTAAGGATGAGTTATACTTTATCTAGGTTCCGGAGTAAGGACGAATACTAATATATCTAAAACTATGATAATTATAAATAATTCAATATACCAGAAAAAATGAATACTTATTAATATGTTAGGTCCCGCAGTAAGGAAGAGGATGGAAGTGAGGATGAGGAGGATGAGTATGAAGTTGAAGAAATCAGAGATAAAAAGGTGAAGATTATTTGTTTGGTTTCATGGTTCTAAGTTTAGTAATAGTAGGTCTTCTATCTACATAGGATATCCTTTGGCTAGTTAAAGAACCTGGTTGTACTATGTTAAATAGGTTTCTCTTTGGTCTGCTGTATTAGATAGGTTTCTCTATGGTTTACTATATAAAATAGGTTCCTCTATGGTCTACTATATAAAATAGGTTTCTCTATGGTCTAAAATAGGTTCCTCTATTGTCTACTATATTAAATAGGTTCCTCTATTGTCTAATATAATAAATATGTTCCTCTATTGTCTACTATATTAAATAGGTTCCTCTATGGTCTACAATATTAAATAGGTTCCTCTTTGGTCTACTAAATTAAACAGGTTCCTCTATGGTCTACTATATTAAATAGGTTCCTCCATTGTCTACTATATTAAATAGGTTCCTCTATGGTCCACTATATTAAACAGGTTCTTCTATGGTCTACTATATTAGATAGGTTCCTCTATGGTCTACTGTATTAAATAGGTTCCTCTATAGTCTACTAAATTAAACAGGTTCCTCTATGGTCTTCTTTTATGTATAGTTAAAGAATGGAACCTGGATCTACAATATAAAATAGGCTCCTTTGTGTTCAGTTAAAGAATGGAACCTGGGTCTACTATATTAAATGGGTTCCTCTATGTTTAGTTAAAGAATGAAACCTGTGTTTACTATATTAAATGGGTTCCGCTATGTTTAGTTAAAGAATGGAACCTTAGTCCACTATATAAAATGGGTTCCTCTATATTAAGTAAAAGAATGGAACCTGGGTCTACTTTATAAAATAGGTTCCTCTATGTTAAGTTAAAGAATGGAACCTGGGTCTACTATATTAAATGGGTTCCTCTATGTTAAGTTAAAAAAGGGAACCTGGGTCTACTATATTAAATGGGTTCCTCTATGTTTAGTTAAAGAATGGAACCTGGGTCTATTATATTAAATGGGTTCCTCTATGTTAAGTTAAAAAATGGAGCCTGGGTCTACTATATTAAATGGGTTCCTCTATGTTTAGTTAACGAATGGAACCTGGGTCTACTATATTAAATGGGTTCCTCTATGTTTAGTTAAAGAATGGAACCTGGGTCTACTATATAAAATAGGTTCCTCTATGTTTAGTTAAAGAATGGAACCTGGGTCTACTATATTTAATGGGTTCCTCTATGTTTAGTTAAAGAATGGAACCTGGGTCTACTATATTAAATGGGTTGGCTGGGAGTCTGACACGAATACATGGGAACCTAAAGAGCACCTGGATTGTCCGGTAAGTAATCTTGTCTGCAGTTCAAAAAAAGTTTGTGGGTTGGGGTGGCTCTAGTGTGGTGGGGTAGGGTGGCTAGTGTGTGACACCAGTTCTCGTTAGATTACTGAAGTTAAGCACACTTGTATGGAGCCAGTAACTGGATTGGTGTTCACGGGTTTAATTCCCACACTACTTACAAACCTGTGGTTTCAAAATCATCTGAACCCAACATCTGGTTAAGCAGTCATGACCACCTGACGGATGTCTGAGGACAGAGGGATGGCTGTCAACATCTTTCGTAGCGAAAAGGTGCGTGCTTTCTACTCAACAAGAAAGAAGCTTGAAATGGATTGATCCAATTGAATGATGATGAAGAGAGGAAAGGCTGACAAGCAGGGAGAGTCTATGGATTGCCAGCTATAGGTATAGGCTTACAAATGATTGGAAGAAATGAGTGTGATGTTTCCTATCTGTAAGGCACTTGGGCCTCATTCCAGTATATCAGAAGAATTCCTACAAAGGAAAATTTTTTAAATCGTATTACCAAGGTGAAATGTTGGAAGTGCATCAGCCTTGCCACTGGGCTGCTATACGGTATTCATGAATTATTTGTATTGCAAAGTTTTTATTTTACTTTATTTTCAAAGCTATATATGTTTGCAAATTAACATGTTTCACTTTTATTCTATCCTATTATAAAGCTTGGTAACTAACCACCACTACCCTAGGATGATCATTTTAGGTATTATATCCAATAGTTCAAAGAAGGTTTTTTTGGGAGAATTTTTCTTGCCTGGTTAATTGGATCCATAATTTACCAGATTCTTAATTCAAAATAGAACTGGGATGTATATGTATAGCAGTAACCCGTCCATAGGCTGATGATGAAGGATTCTTCTAAGGCCTTCTACGAAAGTAGAACCTAACCATTACAGAATTCCTGCACTCTACCAAGGAACTATATACAGGATATACGCAAATTGTGTACTGTATTCTGTGGGAATGTAAACAAACCCAGTGCCCCCACAGAAGTTAAAGGGAAAGGACTATAACTCTGATGTGATATTACAGTCCAACAAAAAACCAGTTAATATATCAAGTTAGAGGGAATACATATGATTTTTGGCTTTCTGGTCAATATTGAAAATATTTTTATTCCATCCCTTGTGCCCTTTTCCCTCAAAAATGATGCGTTCCCTCTGAATTCTTTGTTTTGATCTCCCACTGCAGTACACAGATTTGACGCATCAGGTATGGCGGTTCCTGGTCTATATATTTCTTGCACTATACTATTCTCAGGCCCAGCTGGAATCTTGTCGGCCCTCTTCTCAAAATAAATGAAGCGTGAACGGATGAATGTGCTGCCAGATTACAACCCCTGGCAGATCAATACAAAAACCCTTACAACACCAAACTTTCGCAATAGAAAAATTCCGAGATTCGATCGAAACAACCCGATCGTATCCTGGGGACAAAAACATCTCTTTTTCAAAAAAGAAAAAAAGTTTAAAATAACTTTACAATTTTTTTATTTTCGATTTATTTTTCTCGAAATTATCCTATTATACCTTATTTTCGCCTTGAGTTAGTAAAGTCAACAAGGTTTTGGGGTATATGTTAGTAAGACGTCCCTAAATATCTGATATGATTTATTTCGCTTTTCCCACGAAAATTTATATTTATATAGATGAAATTGAGTTAAAAAACCTTCTTTTTTATATGTGTTTATCACTAGAACATGAAATCAATTTTTGTTCTGTAAATCAAGTATAAGAGGTTAAATATGTTCCCTTTTACCCTCAAAGCATTGAAAATTATCCACCCGATTCCATCCGAATGGATATCTTCGTGCTTCGTGCTTATCACTTAGTTATGTTTTAATTCTCGTATTTTGAACGTTTTTCCTTTCTTATACGATTAAAACATCTAACAATTATTTTTTCCATTTTTAAGGATAAGTTGGAGGATTTTGAACGAAAATGGAAACGAAAAGAGGAGAAGAGAGAACAGAGACGACGGGAAGAACGAGAAAGAAAGATAAAAGACCGAGAAGAACGAGAGAAGAGGCGAGATGAGAAATTAGAAAAGAGAAAACTGGAAAGTTCAGATAGTGATTCAGAAACAGAAACAAAACCTGTTAAAGTACAGAGCCGAAGAGAATCCGAGGATAAACAGAAAGTGAAAGAAAAAGAGAAGAAAGAGGAGAAAGTAAAAATTAGAAAAATAGAATCCAGTCTTTTTAAGACAGACAAATTGATGAAGGACAATAGAATTGAAAAGGAGCGGAAAAAAGATGACAGAAAGGATAAAGATGACAAAAAGGAGAAGGAGGGGAGGAAGGAGAAGGATGAAAGAAAGGAGAAAGGAAGGATGACAAAGGAGATCCCAGTGAAGATATTAGGGATGACAAAGGAAGCTGGAACCAACTATTTTATCGTCAGGCATTTCATTCAAGATTTACTTCTTATTTTAAAGAAACAACAGAGTTTACGGAATTATTTAAGATTTTCCCCCAGTACCGAAATACTTGAGTAGACTCTTCATATTTAAAACCTTTTATTAACCAACCTGGAAATTAAAATTGTTATATTGGATTTGTCCTGGTATAAGGACTATACAGAATGAAATAAAACTTCATTTTGCATGCTATACTAACTATATATAAACTATATGAACATGCCTGCTATACTAACTATATATAAACTATATGAAAATGCCTGCTATACTAACTATATATAAACTATATGAAAATGCCTGCTATACTAACTATATATAAACTATATGAAAATGCCTGCTATAACACCCTTCATGATTTCATTTGATGCTATTACACTGTACAGTATACTAAACATTAAACTAACGTAGGGATTAAAAATATTATCTTTGACTATAAGTACTGGTGTAAGGAATATAATATACACTATAAAGTTACATACAACTAACCTGCTGGAGATTAAAATTGGTATTTTGTACTAGTCCTGGAACAAGGACCATGTATTGGACTAATAACCTAAGTATTGTTAAAATATTGGACTTGTTTGGAATCATGATTACATTTTGGGTTAATCTATAGGATTTTTGGACTTTGCCTGTAATGGACTGGTTAGTGTTTATATCATGTTATGTCATGTTAGATCAGATTAATCCTGGTATGTTGTGATCTATATTACATAAGACAGAGATTAAATATGCTTTGATGAACTACAGTCCGGAGATTAAAATCGCTAACTAAAAAGGTTAAAGAATGAATTTAAATCGGTTTATGAGGTTTCAAAAACCACTTTCATATATTTTACAGAATTAACCCCTTTTTCTTTCTTATTATCTCAAGATTTATACATTTTCCTGCATTGCACATATTTTCTGTAATTCTAAACTACACAAAAAATGTTTGCCCTCTGTTTAAACATTCCAAACGTAGCCTGAAGATGAAATTGTTCTTCGGGAACTTAGTAAAAGATGTTATTTTTAAAAATGAATGAAAATGTGTTAAAGGTTTCGAACTGATGAAACTGGATTAATGACAATGTCTGATGCACATGATTTTGTTCCCAAACTCTGCTGTCAGTTCTATTCTGAGTTTATAGAAATATCATAGCTCACAAAAAAAATATAACTTTCTAAAAATCAGATCTCGCTAAATATTATTTTTTCAACGTTTATAGCGTATGTGTACAATTATTTTATAAAATGTTAAAATAAAAGATATTTTTTTCAATTTTACTGTCTGCTTCATTTTCAACTTTAAGTTGTAATTCCAAATTTGGTTTTTCTTTTGGAATTTAATGTATGTCGTACAGAGCGTTCCATGTGTTATTAGATAATAAGTTTTAATTTTTTTTAAAAAATTATCTTTTAACTATTAAATATTTAAAGATATTTAAAATTGTCCTACTTCACATTTAGAGCTTTTGCATGATCCACTATGATGTTGAACACCCTGTACAGTGTACAATGTACAGTGTACAATGTACATGCTTCTAACCCTAAAATGTTCTTGTCAGTTGTCAACCAATTGTGATTAAAATTGTCTCGGCCCAATAAGCCATACATATAATGAAGTTGTAGCAGGTGCGTATTTAGTAGGGGCTATGGAGCTCAGCCCCCCCCCCCCCTGGATCGGTAAGATCTATGGTTTTAGGTTTCTGTTTTTCCAAACGGGTGATGCCCCCCCACCAAAAAAAAACGAAAAAAAATTGCCTTCCCCCCCTGGACAAATTCCTGAAGTTGTACACTTGCAGGTTATTATGATCAAACGATACCATTCATAACAAACTTATCAAATTAAATCTCAGTTAGCAATCATTTTAAAATATGATTTTATTCTCTTAACATCAAATAAACTAGATTTAATATTTGAATTTACTTTATTCAATATTTAAACTCATGTAATGGAAATTCATATTCCCCCTAAATATAAAATATTGGGGATGGTTTTAAATTAATTATGATAAAGCTAACTAAATCATTTTTCAGGATGAGATTTTGAGATGTCTCTTAACAGAATTTTAATTTTTAGAAAATATATTCAAAAAATTAAGTCCTATGGACTATTGGTAATAAATAATGGATCTCAAACTACTTGAAAAATATTTTTGCTTTCATAAACTTTTAAGTTTGGTGTAATTAACAAACATAAAATAAGGCTTGTAGAAGACAAAATAAAATTATCGAAATACACATTTACAAGATTCAGCGCGTTTAAGAAGTAATGATATTTTTAGCATAAAATTGGCCTCGTAAAAAAATATTGTTAAAAATAAACTTTTGGAATATTACTGATTTAGTAAAATGTTGTTGGCTATTCAAAACATTAATTTTGAATTCCGCTTCTCGCGTTTTTGCCCTTTTTTGGTACAGCTCGCTTGGCGTAAATAAAGCCAATTACTAATTAAAATTAATTCCAAAACAATCCATGCGCGTGTTTGTATGAATTAATAGTTTGGCAACGATTTTGCTCTTGTCTCCAGTATATATCAGGCCTTATAGATTCAAAACTAACGGGAAAGAATTTAAAATGATAACAATAAGCTTGCTTCTAGCTGCTCTATGGTTGAACTCTTTTTAAATCGATTTACCAGCAGAATTAGTCTTGATATGGCAATTTTATAATGTTAGATAAAGTTAAGCAACAATATTCATTTGATCAATCATTCTCTGTTTCTCAATAAACATTTTCTTGAGAGCGTTGAGATGAGTTTCAAGATCTTCTAGTTTCATGTCACTGTTAGATGGAGCTGAGATCGCAGCATTCACCTGATTAACAGACTTATTATTTAAATACCATTAACTCGAGAGAAAATGGTAAAAAGTCACAATTTAAAAAAGTTTTTTGAAAAAAAGTTAGAATTTCTGGAACTAAAAAAGACGTAGAAACCTGTACTGCAAATCATTTTGAAGGAAAATAAGTCGTGACTTTTTATCCAAAATTTTTATATACTGTCACGGAATAATTTCATCTATTCATGAGGAAAAAAGTCGATCGACGATAAACTCTAATTAATTGTAGATTTTTTTAGTTAGAAACTTGTTGGCCCTTCTCTAAAAAATTATAATCAAAAGGATTTGTGTAAAACAAATCTACGCCTGTTTGATCATGTTTATGTAGTGATGAAGTGTTTATTTCTGTGACTTTTTTCCCGGGACATCTTTAATACGTTTTTATTTTCATATGGTCATTTCTCCTGCAGACTTTAATAGCGGTTTCGTGACGATCATAATAATAATAATCACTCAGTCTTTCACTCAAAAATTTCCGGCTTGAGCTCCCTTCCGTGTTAGTTCCAATGAATTAACCCAGTTAAGAGCTGAGTAAAAATTCACGATATATGGTAAAAAAGTCAAGTAAGACTTTATTTCCCAGAACTTGAGTAAGTGTTGTTTTTTTAAGGACTTTTCCCATGATACAAAGGATAAATGGATGAAAGGAAATAAAAAAGTCCTAAATTTTAGCACTAAACAGTCCTTGAAATAAGAAGAAGAAGAACCATTTTGAGACTTGAGTTTTAGGTAAGGTTTTAATGGTATCTTGTGAATTGTTCATGCAACNTATCAACAGTCCCTTTAATACATCTTATCTTCTGTTTTACTTTAAAGAATACTTTGAGTGATAATTTATCATTTCCAGTAATGGATTTTCTCTTTCCCCTTTAGGCTGAGTATTTTCATTTGAAATTTCAAACTAGTTTTCTATAAATATCTATACCTTCTCAGCCGTCTCTGCTTGTTGTTTCCACATAGTGATTAGACCTTCCATTCTCAGTATCCACTCCCCAGACATCTTGTTTACATCAGACCATCTTAATAATAAACCATCTAAAGGGACTTTAGTTGTTATTTAAAGGGCCCTTTATTATTGAAGAGGCCCTATTCCCTTAAACCTTTATCTGACCAATTATGTGGAAGATATCGTCGATCTAAAATAACCAATTTTTCAAATAGAAATCATGGATGTTTCATTCATTCTCGATCAGACTAAGCGTCAAGGGTACCGTTGTGAATCGGTCATGCCATTCTACAAACTAAAGGACATTTCAAACTACGTATTCAGTCCCTTTCAGCAACATTTTTAGATAACACTTTCGTTCCTAATCTTACCTAACTCCGATATATTTTAGAAGAACGAATAGATCTTCACTTTAAATCTATTTTATATATTATACATTTACGTAAGTTGTACGTATATAAATACGTAAATTAGGTATCTTTGTTTGTCTGTTTGTTTGTATGTTTCTCATCAGTTTTGAAGTGAAAAAAATATGGTTTTTTTATTTCTCTGAACGATCCAATTCGTTAGTTAATTTTTCTAAGAGACCATCGTTCACGAAGAATTTCGTTTGTTCACGAAACGATGCCCTTATGTTTTTGCCGACCTTTTTTTTTAGATGGTGGCAACATAATTCTATTTAATTTAACCCCTTTCTCGATTCCATTAAGACAATAAATATTTTTCATTTAATTGGAATAATTAGTCCCTAGTGAAATAATTAATAGAACGTCATCCCATTTAACTAAATCATGCATTTTCTTTATCTTAAGAATAAATGCAGTTAACTGTATACAGTATATTCACGTCAAGCTAAAGTAAATTATACGAAAGATTGATTGATATCTTAAATGTTTTCTATCATAACTTCTTTTGAAATTTTGAGAAGATCAAAAATGTTCTGAATTTTTAATATTTAACCTTTAAATTTGTTTTTCCCAAACTTGTGCGTAAAATAAAAACTAGCGGAACTACGAGGCCCCGTACATCTAGTACATTTTACCTTCTTCTGTCTAGTTCACAGTGTATTGTATAATATGTCTTCACACGATATTTCAAACTTAACTTTTGGGTCATTTGGCTGAGATATAGAGTTTGAAAATTAGAGTTTGAGCTGAGGTTCAGTTCCTTGTATCTTAAACTCGTTAATAAATGATGTGACAACTTGAGTTGTTGGTAAGCACTTCAGCAGTTCATAAATTAACTAAGTCTCTTCAATCTAAGAGAAAATTATAATAAAAATACTCCCACTAATTTTTAAAATTTAAGGCTCCTCATTCTCATATGCTACTTTTTAATCATTGCCTTAAAGTTAGTTTTAGGTCGAAGGATTTTAGTCTTTGTCACAAACTCTGGTTTTCTAATCCCTAAATATTTGGAACCTTAGATATTTCAAACTAAGAATTTTGTTGGATCAAACATTATAGAAATATCAAAGGTTTACACCATCAGATTGCTAAGATTAGATTAGAATATTTGAGTTTGTGGCAAAGACTCAATTTTTTTCAAGTTCTTCACCTCTTCTCAAATCCTGCGTTTTGTTTATCTGCTTCGTCGTGTCGCGCCATTTTACGCGCTGACGCAATTCCATCGTCAATTATCTTCTTCATTGATACGCATTCTTGCTGAAATTATTTCACATTAAATTATTTATTTATTTCACGGAAATTTATCATATTTTGCGCTTAAAAAGCCTTAAAAATGTTTTTTGGGATTTAATGAAATTTCATCTTTATAATTTTAGATTAACATTTAAACCTGTTACATGTAAATTTGAATGTAGACAAATCCACAATATAAAATATAAAAATAATATTGAGACCTTCATTATAATCCACAATATAAAATATATAAATAATATTGAGACCTTCATTATAATCCACAATATAAAATATATAAATAATATTGAGACCTTCATTATAATCCACAATGTAAAATATGTAAATAATATTGAGACCTTCAATATAATCCACAATATAAAATATGTAAATAATATTGAGACCTTCATTATAATCCACAATGTAAAATATGTAAATAATATTGAGACCTTCATTATAATCCACAATATAAAATATATAAATAATATTGAGACCTTCATTATAATCCACAATATAAAATATATAAATAATATTGAGACCTTCATTATAATCCACAATATAAAATAAATAATATTGAGACCTTCATTATAATCCACAATGTAAAATATATAAATAATATTGAGACCTTCATTATAATCCACAATGTAAAATATATAAATAATATTGAGACCTTCATTATAATCCACAATGTAAAATATGTAAATAATATTAAAACCTTCATTATAATCCACAATGTAAAATATGTAAATAATATTGAGACCTTCATTATAATCCACAATATAAAATATGTAAATAATATTGAGACCTTCATTCAAATCTGCGCAAAGTTTGGTTATGAAAAACAAGCCAAATATATAACTGTATGTAAAGTAGTAATCATTTTTTGTCTTGTCTGTTTGTTTGTTTGTGCGTTTTTATGTCTGATCATAACTCAGGAACCCCTTGTCTGATTTGCCTCACATTATAATTTGGGAACTCTATAGAAATACAGAAATGTTCGTAGATTGGTTTGACAATTCTAAGTGGAGTGAGTTGACATTTTATAATGATTTGTCCCTAAAGACTAAAAGTCCATATCTTCCAATACATTGACACCCCAATTAGCCGTACCTTGCTTAGCTACTCATGATTTAGATATAAGATTTTACACCCATAGTTTTATACTTCAGTTTACCTGGAAGTTTTTACATTCTTCTATCAGGGTTAGAGCATCCTCTAGGTTGCTTGGCTTACCTAATCCTGTTTTTACCTTAACAACAAATACTTGTATTTAGATAAGATAAGATAAGATAACGTTTATTGCTAAAATAAATGTATCTGTATACAGATAAGGTGTTGGGTTGTCGGTCAGTTTAATCCGGGAGCTCACAAAGACACGTCCGGTCAGCTCGGATAACTACACTACATTTAATAAGGTCTTTACCAACTTTGTATTTATGTAGTGATAAAAATGTGAAGAGTAAAATTGATTATAATCACTGATTTAGAGATAAGATAAGGGGGGAGGGGGTAAATTAAACTAAATTTTATTCAGGGATGCGAGGTGTTATGTAAGGATATGATATTCTGTTATTTCGTCAACAAATGGAGAAGCGGAAAAGCCTATCCTTTAAGACTTAATGGCTGAAACAAATTAAAAGTTTTAAAAAATGTACAGTTTAGAAGTGCATGTTCCAAATTTACCCCTCGATATAATTCGTTTTGTCGGATCACGTGTATTTATTATCTTAACTGCTGCTGAGGATGATAAAGAATTAAAAAAGCTCGGGGGGGGGGGGNCCCCCTCGTAGAAAAAAGGTCTTAGAGCCAAGATGAGGTGGTGCAATATTTTCGTGTTTGTAGCTACATTTTTCAATATATACAAACCCTAAAAATCTGATAGGGCAACGCCAACCACGACCCACCAGTCTTTATAAGGTAAACTTTAAATTACCTAAACTGTGAGAATAGCACATTAAACTCGTTTTGTCTCAGTCAAAACCTGGCATTTGCATTAAAATAAAAGTTTTCTTGGAAGAAACTTTTCTGCAAACTTTAAATCACCAACCTTTTCCTCAGCTTTCTTAATCCAGGGTTCAAACTTCTTGGTACTGTTTGTGAAATCCGCCAAATATTTTACATCCTCGCCAAACTTTGCAGCCTCGCTTTCAGCCTCGGTGTTTAATGTGCTCTGGGCCTCGCTTACGGCATTCATTCTGAAATATTAGGTTTCATTTTTGATCTAATGGTTTGATATTAAATGATACCTTTTATAGTTTTCAAAGGATAATTTTGTAATAAATAGACAAAATATATTTATGGCCAAAATATTTATCTATTTTTTATATATTCATGTTAAATTTTGCTTTGGTATTTTTGTAAAATTTAATTTTTTAAATAATTTATTTTTTACTTTCATTTAAAGATTTTTAAAAGTTTAACGTTCATCTTGGCCTAGTTATAGTTTTATGTTAATGTCAAGATTTGATATTTTTTACATTTCGGTTTTATCAATTTTTGTATAAACTAAATATTCATTATTTAAAAGTAAAAATCTTATTTTTTAGAGTTGTCGAAATTTAGCGGTACATTAAACCTCGATTTTGAATTTATTTTCAAGCTGTATTTTGGTTTCAATAATATTATTTATTTATAAATAATATAAATTGTTTTCGCTAAGCATTATATTGCATGTCAAAAGCTTTTAATAAGTCCAAATTCAACTTTACATTCAAATGCTATCAACGTCAAATATGTAAATTTATGCTAACTCGAATGAAATTGCTCACTTTTCAAGCTTCAAAGGTTAAACGAACTAGAAATATCGCAAATATGTTTCAATTGATAAAATCATGAATCTTTATGTTTGTTTGTTTGTATGTCCGACTATGATCCCTTATGTAGACCCATACGCCTGAAATTTTTATTGGGAAACTCGGGAGAGCCACGGGAATGTACTAGTTAAGTGGGTCAACTTTCACAGGAAAAAAAGCTAAAATCGTAATTGAAGAACAAGTGCGGGTAATCTGCGGGAGTAACTATGAGTAACCTGGGCAGCGCCGGACACTTCAGCTAGTTTAAAAATATAATACTATTCTAAATTTTATTCTGTAACGTATGGTGTTGCAGTTAAGGCCAACAATAGCTGGTGTATCTACTGTATCCTCCACCTACCTACCTTCCAACAATAGCTGGTGTATCTGCTATATCCTTCACCTACCTTCCAACAATAGCTGGTGTATCTGCTATATCCCCTTCACCTACCTTCCAACAATAGCTGGTGTATCTGCTGTATCCCCTTCACCTACCTTCCAACAATAGCTTGTGTACCTACTGTATCCTTCACCTACCTTGCTTTATCTGCTATATCCCCTTCACCTACCTTCCAACAATAGCTGGTGTATCTGCTGTATCCCCTTCACCTACCTTCCAACAATAGCTTGTGTACCTACTGTATCCTTCACCTACCTTCCAACAATAGCTTGTGTATCTGCTATATCCTGCACCTACCTTCCAACAATAGCTGGTGTATCTACTATATCCTCCACTTACCTTCCAACAATAGGTTGTGTATCTACTGTATCCTCTTCACCTATCTTCCAACAATAGCTGGTGTTTCTGCTATATCCTTTACCTACCTTCCAACAATAGCTTGTGTATCTACTGTATCCCCTTCACTTACCCTTCAACAATAGCTTGTGTATCTACTGTATCCCCTTCACCTACCTTCCAACAATAGCTGGTGTATCTGCTATATCCTTCACCTACTTTCCAGCGCTAGTTTGTGTATCTACTGTATCCCCTTCACCTACCTTCCAACAATAGCTTGTGTATCTGCTATATCCTTCACCTACCTTCCAACAATAGCTGGTGTATCTGCTTTATCCTCCACCTACCTTCCAACAATAGCTTGTGTATCTGCTACATCCCCTTCTCCTACCTTCCAACAATAGCTTGTGTATCTACTGTATCCTCCATCTACCTTCCAACAATAGCTTGTGTATCTGCTATATCCTTCACCTACCTTCCAACAATAGCTGGTGTATCTACTGTATCCCCTTCACTTACCCTTTAACAATAGCTTGTGTATCTACTGTATCCCCTTCACCTACCTTCCAACAATAGTTGGTGTATCTGCTATATCCTTCACCTACCTTCCAACAATAGCTGGTGTATCTGCTATATCCTCCACCTACCTTCCAACAATAGCTTGTGTATCTGCTATATCCCCTTCTCCTACCTTCCAACAATAGCTTGTGTATCTACTGTATCCTCCACCTACCTTCCAACAATAGCTTGTGTATATGCTATATCCTTCACTTACCTTCCAACAATAGCTGGTGTATCTACTGTATCCTTCACCTACCTTCCAACAATAGCTGGTGTATCTGCTCTATTCTCCACCTACCTTCCAACAATAGCTGCTTTATCTGCTATATCCTTCACCTACCTTCCAACACTAGCTTGTTTATCTGCTATATCCATCACATACCTTCCAACAATAGCTTTTGTATCTGCTATATCCGTCACCTACCTTCCAACAATAGCCTGTGTATCTGCTATATCCTACACATACCTTCCAAAAAAGCATGTGTATCTGCTCTATCCTCCGCCTACCTTCCAACAAAAGCTTGTGTATCTACTGTATCCTTTACCTACCTTCCAACACTAGCTTGTGTATCTACTGTATCCCCTCAACCTACCTTCCAACAATAGCTTGTGTATCTGCTATATCCTTCACCTACCTTCCAACAATATCTTGTGTATCTGCTGTATCCTTCACCTACCTTCCAACACTATCTTGTGTATCTACTGTATCCCCTTCACCTACCTTCCAACAATAGCTTGTGTATCTGCTATATCCTTCACCTACCTTCCAACAATATCTTGTGTATCTGCTATATCCTTCACCTACCTTCCAACAATAGCTTGTGTATCTACTGTATCCCCTTCACCTACCTTCCAACAATAGCTTGTGTATCTGCTATATCCTTCACCTACCTTCCAACACTAGCTTGTGTATCTACTGTATCCCCTTCACCTTCCTTCCAACACTAGTTTGTGTATCTGCTATATCCTCCACCTACCTTCCAACAATAGCTGGTGTATCTGCTATATACTTCACCTACCTTCCAACAATAGCTGGTGTAACTGCTATATCCTTCACCTACCATCCAACAATAGCTTGTGTATCTGATATATCCTTCACCTACCTTCCAACAATAACTTGTATATCTGCTATATACTTCACCTACCTTCCAACAATAGCTTGTGTATCTACTGTATCCCCTTCACCTACCTTTCAACAATAGCTTGTGTATCTGCTCTATCCTCCGCCTACCTTCCAACAATAGCTTGTGTATCTACTGTATCCCCTTCACCTACCTTCCAACAATAGCTTGTTTATCTACTATATCCCCTTCACCTTCCTTCCAATAATTGCTTGTGTGTCTGCTATATCCTTCACCTACCTTCCAACAATAGCTTGTGTATCTACTGTATCCTCCACCTACCTTCCAACAATAGCTTGTGTATCTACTGTATCCCCTTCACCTACCTTCCAACAATAGCTTGTGTATCTACTGTTTCCCTTTCTCCTACCTTCCAACAATAGCTTGTGAATCTGCTGTATCTTCTCCTGGTTGTGTTGGAGCAAGTTCTTCATCCCATTTTGTTTGCTGTTTAGTATGGATTTCAATTTGTTTCCTAAATATAATTATAAATTAACTATTTATTTATATAAGTAGTAATCTCTGTTTGACTGTTTTTATGTCCGATCGTAACTCTAACCGATAAATTTTGGTATAACACCGGAATGTTCTCAGTTTGGTTTAATAATCGTAAGTTGATAAGAGAAAGATATGTTTCAAGACAAAGCTTGGCGCCTAGGCTAGTTTTCTATTATTTTCATTTGTTTTTGTATAAAAAAATGTTCTTGGAAAAGAATTACACCGCGGCATAAGCGAATTACAATTCAGAACTGTGGTGCACTAAAGCAACGACGTGTTGTTGAAAATTTGAATACGAACACAACACATTCTACATCTAAGAAAGGAATTTTTTAATGACTTCTGTATTTTAAAGTAAAAATCATTTAATGAAGTTTTTTAAAACTTGAAAAACAAGTTTTATTACGTGAAGAGATTGTTCACTTCTTCAAAGAAGAAAAGAAAAATCATAATATTCGAATTTGTGTAACCATACACATTTGAAAATGCGCCAATTTCAAAAGAAAAATCCGCCAAAAATTGAAAACTATTTAAAATGACCGTCTTTTAGGGCAAAAATTAAAAGATCAAATTATTTTTTTTAAAGCCTAGTTGCTTATTAATATGTACTCGGAAAACAATTTACAAAAAATCAAAAATCTTCTTATATGAGATATGGTTATTTTGACAGATTACATCTTTAGTCGTAAACTGGACAGGACTTAGATATTTTTTAATAAAAAATGAACATTATTTGTATTTTTCTATAGATAAACAATCCCTTACATTTTGTTGCAAATATAATCACTTTTTCTATTTAGTCTTTCCACGCTTCGAAACATATCTTTAGAGAAAAATTGTCATTCTCAGGCCAAATTGTCTGTAAAGCTTGAAAGTACTAGTATATATAGTTCGTGGATTATTTGTGTTTTCTCTTGTTGTTTACAACATTTAAAAACATCTCCGCAGAGCAGCACGCCGCCTCATTTACTAGATAACCTTACTTTATCATTATATGACTGTAAAACTATTATGGGGGGAAAACAAGTAAATAAAGGCAGAAAATTGACCCGGACCGCGAGAAAAGCATGCATGCTTTGATGTCTGTACGACCTAGATTTCGAGTAAAAAGTTTCAAAATATTTTTTATGGAAAAGTTAACAAAGTAAATACCTCCCGACTCTTTAATAAAAACTTTAGAACTTTTCTTTTCCCTTTCCTTAGAAAATCATTAAATATTCATGAAGAAGAAAATTAATTCAGATATTTGAAAAGTATTGTTATTTTAACCTGATATCTTCTCCTAGTTCCATTGTGTTTAGTACTCCTTCCTCCGGCTCCACAGGTTGGGTTGGGTTCAGTAGTTCATTCATTCTCTTCCTCCCCTCTCCTAACCATCCTTCCATACCCTACAATATAGGTTGGGTTCAGTAGTTCATTCATTCTCTTCCTTCCCTCTCCTAGCCATCCTTCCATACTCTACAATATAGGTTGGGTTTAGTAGTTCATTCATTCTCTTCCTTCCTTCTCCTGGCCATCCTTCCATACCCTACAATATAGGTTGGGTTCAGTAGTTCATTCATTCTCTTCCTTCCCTCTACTAACCATCCTTCCATACTCTACAATATAGGTTGGGTTTAGTAGTTCATTCATTCTCTTCCCTCTCCTAGCCATCCTTCCATACTCTACAATATAGGTTGGATTCAATAGTTCATTCATTCTCTTCCTTCCCTCTCCTGGCCATCCTTCCATACTCTACAATATAGGTTGGGTTCAGTAGTTCAATCATTCTCTTCCCTCTCCTAACCATTCTTTCATACTCTACAATATAGGTTGGGTTTAGTAGTTCATTCATTCTCTTCCCTCTCCTAACCATTCTTTCACACTCTACAATATAGGTTGGGTTCAGTAGTTCAATCATTCTCTTCCCTCTCCTAACCATTCTTTCATACTCTACAATATAGTTTGGGTTCAGTAGTTCATTCATTCTCTTCCCTCTCCTAACCATTCTTTCACACTCTACAATATAGGTTGGATTCAGTAGTTCATTCATTCTCTTCCTTCTCTCCCTTCCGTCCTTTCCTTTCCCAAACGTCCTTCCTGGAGCAATTCATTGATTTTTAACCCAAAGATTGACTAAACCTGAATAATCAGAACTGATGGGCAATGTGAAAGAAATAAATGGTGTCGGTAAACTAGTCAAATTATAGCTGGATAATGTTTTTCATCCGAATTTATGACGTATGACACTAGTTCTATGGCAATTTACCCAAAAAATGTATATTTATACATATATCTTGCACGCTAACACTCTTAAATTATATTTTTTTACTAATTCTTAAATTATATGTATTTACCAATTCTTAAATTATATTTATTTACCAATTCTTAAATTATATTTGTTTACCAATTCTTAAATTATATGTATTTACCAATTCTTAAATTATATTTATTTACCAATTCTTAAATTATATTTATTTACCAATTCTTATATTGTATTTATTTACCAATTCTTAAATTATATTTATTTACCAATTCATCAAATCTAAGTTTTTTTCATTTATATAAAACTGAGCGGAGAGTATGTAAGTTATATTTAATCGGTTTAGAATTATTCGAAAAAATTCTATTTATTTCCTTGCTTTTACTCTCTCGTAAGCAAATGATTAAAAGCTGGATTACAGTCAGATATCTACAATCTTTTAAAAATATCAGGGCGCAACTTAAAATTATATTTTGTTGGTTTACAAAAGTTACAATGCACTTTCTTTATTTATCTATCTTGTTTTTTTCTCCAAAACCTTCCTGCATAGTACATATCTATTTTAGAACTTCATCTACCTTAATTCCTAAATTACGAAACAGAACGAATATGATTAGCTCTCTAGCTATTTCAAGAGTTTTTATAGATAATATTCAAGGATGCATCTCCCCTACAAGAGCACGGTCCAATACAACCTCTTTTTTCAAAAAATATTAAAATTGAATGTTTTTCTGTTCGTAATCGGCAAAAGAGAGGGGGGGAGTCGGAAAAACAATAGTAGGATCAAAAACTGTTAAATATTTTGAGCATTTTTGTAAATTAGGTAGACTTCGTACATATGTGCAATGCTATATACCATGAACAAGGCTTTTATTATCCTCACAGAACATTTTCAGAAAGATTATTTGAAAAAAATGGTTTGAAAACAATTCAGACATTTTAAGTATTTAAGCAGTTGTGTAGGGTTTTGACAAAACCGGCATTTATTTTTACCCCTATGTAAGGGGTAACTTATGAATGCAAAATTGTAAAATCATTCTCAAGGAACTTAATCTGAGTAACATATTTAAAATTCAACAATAAAGACATTATTCATAACTACCTGGAGTGTTTCATCATAAGCTTTAAGGTTAGTGTTGAACAATTCCATGCTCTTAATCTTCTCGTCAATCTGATTATTTACCTCCATCCGACCCTTCAGCTCGTTCACCTGGATACAAAGTATATTTTGCAACTTATGCTTTAATAGAAACTAGCTCTAGTGCCCGACGTTGCTCTGGAAAAAATTTATTTTTGAAGAAAAAAAACGAGTTTTGAAAAAAAAAACATCTAATTTTTTTAGCCTATGTTACCCCCAGGGCATCCATGAGTTCCCTCAAACGTTTCGGCCAATTTGGTTTAGCCTATTGACCATCTATAGTTAATATATATATTTACATATATATAATCAATTTCTTACTCAAACACAAAAACAGATTTACAAATATATATATATATATGAGCAAAGAGCTTATATTAGATAGATGGATGGAAACTTATTAATCGCCTCAAACTTGAATTTTCTCAATCTCCGGAAAGCTGATCAGATGATAGAACTAGAATAACTAAACAGAGAACCAACACCACCATCAGAAGTAATTTCTTTTACCAAAGAGCCATTGATGATTGGAACCAGTTACCCACCACAATCAGAGAGTCCCAAAATATCAAGATATTTAAAAGAAATCTTGACCAATATCTATCTTCTTCTGAGATGAACAATGATAAGATTTCCAGAAGTAGACTGTGTGGAAAAGATGTTACTCTCCAAGTATACAAGTAAGTAAAATTAGAAAGTTATAGATTAAGGCGAGTAACAGTTACTTTAACCCTAAGAAGGTTCTCAATCTATGTAAAGCCGGAGGAGGATGTTGGGGGNGATCAATCCTCCGCATGCATGCAACTTTCAAAATATGGTGATGCCAATCATAGAAGACCAGTTTATATATTTAAGTAAAACCTAATAAATTGATCCCTCCTCTTCTATAAAAAAAATGCGAGTACTTAGCGAAGCGGAGAAGCATGTAATTCAATCTCGTAACTTTTTAATGTCAACAATATAAATTCATATTAATTCCTGTACAGTCCCATAGATTTTTAATGTAGATTTTGTTCATATATTGACTATTTTTTTTCGTTACATAATCTTATTTCAAATATTAATGATCTTATTCAAATGATTTGTAAACAAATGACTTGAAAACAGATCAATGTAAAATACCTGGTCCATAAGTTCTGCTTTCATCTCTTCTGTTAGTAAAGTCTGAACAATCTCATTAGCAGAACTCACATTCTTGAATACATCTTCAATATTCTTCCTAAACAATAGCAGAACTCACACTCAGTACATCTTCTATAATCTTCCTAAACATTAGCAGAACTCATAGTTGAATACATCTTGTATATTCTTCCTAAACATTAGCAGAACTCACACTAAATACATCTTCTATATTCTTCCTAAACATTAGCAGAACTCACACTCAATACATCTTCTATATTCTTCCTAAACATTAGCAGAACTCACATTCTTGAATACATCTTTTATATTCTTCCTAAACATTAGTAGAACTCACACTCAATACATCTTCTATATTCTTCCTAAACATTAGAAGAACTCATAGTTGAATACATCTTCTATATTCTTCCTAAACATTAGCAGAACTCACATTCTTGAATACATCTTTTATATTCTTCCTAAACATTAGAAGAACTCATAGTTGAATACATCTTCAATATTCTTCCGAGGAAAGAAACTTTAAACTTAATTTAAAGAGACTCTTTTCTAAGTCTGCAGCAATTATTTTCATTTTAAGTAAGACAATTCCGATTCACAATGGTAACCTTTAAATCCAGATATGACCAATACGATTTTTTTTTTCCTGACTTGAAAACTGTTTAATTCTGACAACTTCCTTCTGCGTTATTTCTATAGCAGAATTGCGCGATTTATATGGAAACCACAAACAAAGGTTATTAAATTGAGAATCATTTAACTGAATTAACGACTGAAGTCCATTAATGCGCTAATATTGTGGAACAACATTGAGGACGCACAATTAAAGATTTGCATGGAGGACGCACATCAAGGGTGCACGTTGAGAACCCACTTTAAAACGATTTATTGACAAGGGATAAGAGGCCAAACAAGTGTTGCATGAAATGTATTCAAGAAAATATTGAAGCTTTATATCTATCTAGGAGCTTAATATAAGAGGATATGTAGGGTTACCCTAAAAGAATAAGACTTCAGAGACGATTGTACGGAAATTTAATGTCTATATCTTTATAGTTTTGATTCCCTTCTACTGAAAACTTGTGTCTTTCTTAAACGGCTATTTCTAAGGTAGAATATAGAATTCAACCATGATATTGTCATATTTCAAGAGTTTCGGACAGTATACAGTCTCATCCTTTGTGGGTAGCTATCTAATAGTTAATTTTTAATAAAATGTAAAGTTTAAAAACTGATATATATATATATATATATGTATATCCAGTAAGAGAAGCCTGGAAGGTTTATTAGATTCCTGTGTGCTCCTTGAAGGAAAGTATGTTTACTTTGTAGTTCTTGAAGAATGAAGGAATGAAAACTAAGTTCCACATTTACAGATTAAAAATACTTTAAACAAACTCAACACACACACCCGCACAATGCACAAAATCAAGCCATCTTGATTTATTTGAAATGACAATTCTTACTTTTTCTGAAAAAGCAGGGTGCTTCTTGGCATTTTTTTAGTGTTGATTCTAATTCAATTGTAATATTTTTTCCTCTAACCTGTCTACGTTTGTAAGAACCTGCAGTTTACTAAACAAATGGGTTCTTTAATCTATACTTGCAGAGCTCTCCTTGAAATACAGTGGGACCAATAATATGGTCTGAGGGAAGACCACTTGCTATCAATCTTATTTGGGTTTGAAAATATTATAAACGCCCATATTGTGTTCAAACGAGCCTCTAAAAAATTGGGGGGGGNTTGCTGCGGATTAATAAAGTTCCTACCTAATAGTTGCTACGGATTTATAAAGTACCTACCTAATAATTGCTGCGGATTAATAAAGTTCCTACCAAATAGTTGCTACGAATTCATAAAGTACCTATCTAATAATTGCTGCGGATTAATAAAGTTCCTACCTAATAGTTGCTACGGATTTATAAAGTTTCTACCTAATAGTTACTGCGGATTTATAAAGTTCCTACCTAATAGTTGCTGCGGATTAATAAAGTACCTATCTAATAATTGCTACGGATTTATAAAGTTCCTACCTAATAATTGCTGAGGATTTATAAAGTTCCTACCTAATAGTTGCTGCGGATTAATAAAGTTCCTACCTAATAGTTACTGAGGATTTATAAAGTTCCTATCTAATAGTTGCTGCGGATTTATAAAGTACCTACCTAATAGTTGCTACGGATTAATAAAGTACCTATCTAATAATTGCTGCGGATTTATAAAGTTCCTATCTAATAGTTGCTACGGATTAATAAAGTACCTACCTAATAGTTGCTGCGGATTTATAAAGTTCCTACCTAATAGTTGCTGCGGATTTTATCCTAGCCTGTAGGAGACCTGGAGCAGATGACATATCGTAAACCTTAATAAATTAGATAATTATTAAATATACAATTCTCTCCTTGATCCCTGTCTATGAAGTTTTGTAGACTACTATTTCTGAATAAAAATGTATGAAACTGATGCTATGGAAACTAAAGTTTGCGACGCACTACACTTACTACTTCTACTTTTCATCAGGGGTCAATATAATTCCCAAAAAATCTGATTTTCTCGATCCCAAAATTATTTTTTGCCCCCAATTTTGCAAAAAAATGCCCCCAATTTTTTTTAAAAAATGCCCCCAGTTAAAATTTTTTTTTCAAATTCCACTAACACATTTGCCCCATTTGCCCCCAATTTGAAAAAAATGCCCCCAATTA